AAGAAACAGCTCTATGAAGGATATTTCAATGTGAGCTCGAGAGCTAAATCGCTCACAACATTTAAGCAGTAAGGTTCTAGCAGTCATGCTATATCGTGAATATAGTCACAGATAAAGAGTGCTGCTGCAAATTTTACAAAGAATTTTACTAATAGTTTGAAAACGACAGACTTCTCTTTGAGTGGCAGAGCTGCTGAACAAGTGCTTCATTTCACATTTTACAGTGTGACAGAATTAAACACCACAAGATCTCACCATATTTCTACATTTTCTGTAGAAAACAGAGCGGCGTTTGCCTGTGCAAACACAAGGGCATCGTGGGAGGCTGCAGGAGCAGGGCTGTGTCGTCTTTTGAGGTCACTAGAGTTGTGTGTGGTTGCTAGGGAATTCTGGGTGTTTGCTGAAAGGAATAGTTCACCCAGAAATGAAAACGACTCAGGCCATCAAAGAAACAAATCCATCATTAAGGCATTTTAACTTGAACATTTTAACCTTAACAATTAAACCGTTACTTCTGGTTTAATAATCCATAATAACTCTTCCTCCAGTGAAAAAGTGCATCTGCTGTTTTCTCTCACATCAAAATCCAGCCACATATTTGTTTAGAGCTGTTTAAACGCTGCTTGATCTGTGCAGATTTCTCTCCTGATTCACACCAGAACACTTTTTCACTGGAGGAAGTGTTATTATGGATTATGGACTGGTATTTTAGTTAAAAACGTCTTAATGCTGGATTTGTTTCAGCTTTTGTCTTCTCCAGATGTTAACTGATGGACTGAAGTGCTGTGGATTACTTGTGGATTATTGTGATGTTTTTATCAGCTGTTTGGACTCTCATTCTGACGGCACCCATTCACTGCAGAGCATCCATTGCTGAGACACTGATGCAATGCTACATTTCTACAAATCTGATGAAGAAACAAACTCATCCTAATCTTGGACATCTCTATTTCTTTAAGTCAGAAGATCCTCAAGTCTCTGTGATATTCTGGGCCAGTATATATACAGTTTGAGGTATTATTAGCTCATATCATGTCTGAAGCATGAACAGGACGAGTTGTTAATAGGGTTACAGGATTGTTCCAATCACAAGAGTTAGCAATAGTAATACCAGTGCATAATTTACATGACTAAATACGGAATCAAGCATTATTACATTACAACTGAAGACAATATGAGCATTGCATTGTGTATAACTCTAAAAAAAAAATGAAAGAAAGATGCCACAACTTACTTAAAAAGCTGAGAAGAGTAAAAATCCTCTTGTATGAAGCAGCATAAGCTCAAGTCTCTCAATAAAACATGAAAGCGGAGCATGTATATTTCAACAGGCTTGAGCGCTCGCACTCCACATTCAACAGAGCGACACACAGCAGATATTACAGCTCAATACCGTCTGCTGGCCATCACGACAGAAACGCATCAGCAGCGCAGAAACGTTACAGAGACCGCAGAAAATAAGCAGCACTCACCAGCTGAGCTCTCCACGTTCACACACACTCTGAGTCCATGCGCACAATAGCACTGAGACCGGCACCCATCCGCGGACACTAGCGCTCCCCTCCTCCTCCTCCAGCACCGCTCCTCCCCCTCTATCTGCCCCAGAATCCCCTCCATCTGAACAATACACCCCCCCACCCCACACCATTTCTACAAATCTGATGAAGAAACAAACTCATCCTAATCTTGGACATCTCTATTTCTTTAAGTCAGAAGATCCTCAAGTCTCTGTGATATTCTGGGCCAGTATATATACAGTTTGAGGTATTATTAGCTCATATCATGTCTGAAGCATGAACAGGACGAGTTGTTAATAGGGTTACAGGATTGTTCCAATCACAAGAGTTAGCAATAGTAATACCAGTGCATAATTTACATGACTAAATACGGAATCAAGCATTATTACATTACAACTGAAGACAATATGAGCATTGCATTGTGTATAACTCTAAAAAAAAAATGAAAGAAAGATGCCACAACTTACTTAAAAAGCTGAGAAGAGTAAAAATCCTCTTGTATGAAGCAGCATAAGCTCAAGTCTCTCAATAAAACATGAAAGCGGAGCATGTATATTTCAACAGGCTTGAGCGCTCGCACTCCACATTCAACAGAGCGACACACAGCAGATATTACAGCTCAATACCGTCTGCTGGCCATCACGACAGAAACGCATCAGCAGCGCAGAAACGTTACAGAGACCGCAGAAAATAAGCAGCACTCACCAGCTGAGCTCTCCACGTTCACACACACTCTGAGTCCATGCGCACAATAGCACTGAGACCGGCACCCATCCGCGGACACTAGCGCTCCCCTCCTCCTCCTCCAGCACCGCTCCTCCCCCTCTATCTGCCCCAGAATCCCCTCCATCTGAACAATACACCCCCCCACCCCACACCAACCCATAATAATGCCGCCGAGATGTCTCCATGGCAACTAATGACAGCGGGAGGGAGGAAGAGAGAATGGAAAAATCAGTCAGGAAGGACAAGTGAAGCGGACAGAGACAGTCGAGCGACAGACAGCTCAATAACTGGCTATATGGAGGGTATCAGTATTCAGTGACAAATGTGTGGCTGGTTTCTCCTGATCTTTGATCGACAGGCTTCAAATGTTGAATAAAAACTGCAGGTAGTAGATGAGGTGAAGCAGATTCTTCAACAAGTGCCTAGACATTCAAGTCTCTTCTGATCACCAAAGCTGCATTTATTTAATCAAAAATACAGTAAAAACAGAGAAATATTGTTACAATTTAAAACAACTATTTTCTATGTGAATATCTGTTAAAGTGTAATTTATTTCTGTGATCAAAGCTGTATTTTCAGCATCATTACTCCAGTCTTCAGAGTCACATGATCTTCAGAAATCATTCTAATATGCTGATTTTCTGCTCAAGAAACATTTCTGATTATCATCAATGCTGAAAACAGTTGTGCTGCTGAATATTTTTGCGGAAACCGTGACACATTTTATTTTTCAGGATTCATAGATGAATAGAAAGTTCAAAACAACAGCACTTATTTGAAATAGAAATGTTTTGAAACATTATAAATGTCTTTACTGGCACTTTTGATCAATTTAATGTGTTCTTACTGTATAGAAGCATTAATTTCTTTCAGGAAAAAATTTAATTTGTAATACAATGCTTAAAAACATCCCAGGATGCTCCTCATTAAACTGGATGAGAGAAAATTCAGAGTGAGTAGAGCTGAAATCACATATAAGAGTTTGCTTTTGTTTTACTATGTTTTGAAGTGAGAAGCAGTTGTAACACTTCTGTAACGGGGTAATTCTCTCTCTGATGGACCAGGCAGTTAACCTAAGAACACGGCACGTGATGGGAGGCGGCGGTGGTGCTGAGTAAATATCAGAGGTAATTGGTAGGTGAACCACAATTTCAATTTTACTGTGAATGGTTTAGGGTTTGTTTCTTTTTTTTTCTTCCGTAAGTACCCTTTTTTCAAAACATAAAACAACAACAACAATAAAACACAGGAAAGCACAATAACTATACCCTTGGGTGCACCTGCTAATTAACTATACATTACACAATAAATCACCTTCACAATCAATCAAATTAAATGACCACAGTTAGTGATAACCGACAGGTAACCGCAGTATGCAACTGGTATGCAAATTAGTCTTTCAAAGTCAGATGTCAATCTGACTAAAAGGTTTGATCAGTCTTTTCCTTTAAACTGGAACTGATGTCTCTCAGATTTTAAGTTCCCAAGGAGAAAAATAGTATCAGTCACTGGAAGCACAATTCTCTTACTTGGTTGAAGAAAATTATAATGAAAAACTGTCCTTTATTCCAGGTCCGTGATCCTTTCAGTCAAGGTGGGAGGCTCGCCATCAATTACAGAAATCCACATTGAAGTTCATCCTCACAAGGAAAAAACCCCCGGCCTGTACGTTCAAAGACCAGTACACACTTAATTGTGTGCATCAAGAATGATTTTCTACGAAATACAGAACACATGAACCAAATAACATACATGAATATCATTTATGCAACTTGTGTCAAAATAACGAATTACCTGTCCATTCTTGTCTGTTTTCACAGGTACACTCAATCAAAATGGCGTCAACGAACCGCTGTGACGCGCACAGAACATGCAGCCTGACACAATCACACTGCAAATGAACAATTCACTCCATATAACATCACAATATAACACTGTTTAGTCTTATATGCATAAAACTCTTATATACGATCTGTTTTCATTCATTTTTAACACTGATCTTATCAGTTCACAACTCACCAACTCCACACGCAAATTTTGTGGTGCAGGAGTGTTATGACCTTAAGATAGTCTATGCATCTATGAAATCTTTTTTTGTATGTATGTATTTGATCTCTCTGCTCGTGTGTGTAGACATGTTTGTGTTCCAGATGGGTTCCTCTGTTAACCAGCTGGAGATGGTGATTGGTCCTACTATGCACCCTACCCAGATAGATAAGGACCGCCCCAAACACTCGTCTTCTGCCTTTGAGCCTCGTTGACTTCGTACCGTCGTGCTTCGCTAGCCTTCTGATTGACTGTTTTCTGCTATTGTTTGTATCGCCGTCGTCGTCGTTTGGTTGTGAAAGAGTGTCGTACCGGAGAGAGATATTCTGAGTGGATTGAATCTGTTGAGTGTTTGTTATTGTAAGTTCAAATTCTGAATCTCCTGTTTATCTGAACATTGCCTGTTCCATCCTACGATTTGGATTCTGCTTTGTTTACGCCCTGAAACTTTGTAAATAAGTTTGTAAATATTCTTGTAAATACTAGTTTGCCAAATTAAGGGACGTAGGGGGTTAGACGCCATTTCATTTATATGTATCTTTTTTCACTTAGTTTATGGTTGAGGGAGGTAGGGAAGTTGGCCTGTATTTTTGTTTTCTTTATTTCCGTTTGAGGTTATTTAGTTGTCAAAGAAAAGTCTGTTTTGTTTATTGTTTTGGCCTTGTCTGCCCCTGAAGATACTCCTGTTAAAAGAAAAGAAAATTGTTTATTTGGCATCTCTCTGGTGTGAACTCAGATCTCTTTTTCTGTTACGGCTAACCCCTAGAGGTCGTAAGAGAAATTGGGGGCTGGTCTCATGAAAACTCATGAAATTGGCTTTGTGTTTGTACGATTGCCTGGTGGTTTTCATTTTAAGGCGGAGGGAATTAGGAATGGCTTCAAAATTTGAATTAGATAAGTTTGCGATCGAACCTTCAGTATATCAGTTGGATATTTGCCGCAAAGATGATTTGTTAACGATCGCGGATTTATATCAAACACAGGTTTCTCGAGGTGCTAGGAAACAGGACATTAAAGAAGTGATTTACAAGCATTTGGTTGAACGTCGGGTTTTGTCTGAAGAAGGTGAGGGGGAGGCGGGTGTTGCAGCTCAAGTGTCGGCTTCCGTAGGGGAGGGGACAGAACCCAAACCCACGAAGTTGACTAGCATAGATCCCGCAAACCTTCCTTCTCCTAGTAATCCTTTGCTGGCGATCAGATTGAAAGAGCTGGAGTTGGAGTTGAGCAAAAGCAATATCAGAGCCAACTGTTGCATGTGTGCGCAGTTGATCTTGAAACCCAGCGAGCCATCAGGCTCAAGGATCTGGACTTGGAGCTAAAAACTAAACAACCTGTTCATCCCTCAGCTGCTGATGCGCCCAGCGTGAGTGTGCCTGTATCACCACCCGTAAATGCTTCCACTCCGAACCCTATTCCTGCACCGCGACGCGCTTTACAAGAAAGTGAACCTGAATTTGATATCAGTAGACAAATTGCATTAGTTCCACTGTTTCGTGAGAGTGAAGTCGATACGTATTTTACTGTATTTGAACGCATCGCGGCCACTTTGAATTGGCTGCGGAGTATTTGGCCGCTCCTGTTACAATGTAAACTCATCGGGAAAGCGCAGGAAGTCTGTTCCGATTTAATGCTTGAACAGAGCCTGGATTATGGGGTAATGAAAATGCCGTATTGCGCGCTTACGAGTTGGTTCCCGAGGCATACCGACAGAAATTCCGAAATCATGTGAAAGCCCCTAGTCAAACATTCGTTGAATTCGCAAGAGACAAAGCCAATTTGTTTGAGAAGTGGTGCACTGCCATAAAAGTTGACACGTTTGAGCAGTTAAAAGGGTTAATATTGTCCGAAGAGTTTAAGAATTGTCTGCCTGAGAAAATCGTGATCTACTTTAATGAACAGAAAGTGTCTTCCCTTTCTGAAGCCGCTGTTTTTGCGGATGAGTTTGTGCTTACTCATAAAGTAGCGTTTCCATCGCCCACCAATCATATTATTTCTGATCGTGTCCGTAATTCTAAAGATTCCCAGACAGTTCCTAAGAACGCTTCAAGTGCTTTAAATGTGGAGAATCGTGAATGTTTTTACTGTCATGAGGTGGGACACCTCATCGCTACCTGTCCCGCTCTGAAACGCAAAGCAGGCAAGAAAACAAACACTTATAAAAGCGTTGCATTAGTTAAGCATCCCATTTTCTCTCCCGAGCCAACAGTTCTGGATACAACCACTGAATCTGCGTTTAAGCCATTTATTTTTGACGGTGTTGTGTCGTTTAGTGAAACAGACCACGAAACAAAAAGTGTTCGCATCCTTCGTGATACTGGCGCCTCAAAGTCCATAATCTTAGAGAGTGTGCTGCCATTTTCGGAACAGTCAAGCTCTGGTTCCAGCGTACTAGTGAAAGCCCCTAGTCAAACATTCGTTGAATTCACAAGAGACAAAGCCAATTTGTTTGAGAAGTGGTGCACTGCCATAAAAGTTGACACGTTTGAGCAGTTAAAAGGGTTAATATTGTCCGAAGAGTTTAAGAATTGTCTGCCTGAGAAAATCGTGATCTACTTGAATGAACAGAAAGTGTCTTCCTTTTCTGTAGCCGCTGTTTTTGCGGACGAGTTTGTGCTTACTCATAAAGTAGTGTTTCCATCGCCCACCAAGCATAGTATTTCTGATCGTGTCCGTAATTCTAAAGATTCCCAGACAGTACCTAAGAATGCTTCAAGTGCTTTAAATGTGGAGAATCGTGAATGTTTTTACTGTCGTGAGGTGGGACATCAGGTATCTAGTGTGTATCACCCTCAGTCCCAAGGTGCCATCGAACGGTTTCATCAAACTCTCAAATCCATGCTCCGAACCTTTTGTGTTGAACAACAAAAAGAATGGGATGAGGAAATCCCACTGTTGTTATTTGCAATTCGTACTACGACTCAAGCTTCCCTTGGTTTCAGGAACAGTCAAGCTCTGGTTCCAGCGTACTAGTGCAAGGCATTGATCTCTCTGTAGTTAAAGTTCCTTTACACAATGTCTATTTGCATTCTGGAATTATTTACGGTAAAGTTAAATTGGCAGTTCGGGCTGAGTTACCTGTTAAAGGTGTAGCGCTCATACTAGGAAATGACCTGGCAGGTAACAAAGTTTTTTGTTTACCTCAGGTTATAGATGTTCCTGAGATACATGATGAAGATGCTTTACAGGAAGAGTTTCCTAATGTGTTTAGCACATGTGTGGTGACCCGAGCTCAAGCTCAAAAACTAAAAGACACTGTAGATCTGTCAAAAACCTTTTTGTGTGATGACAATTCTGCTGAGACAGAGGAAAAAGTTGATTCAGTTGAAGTAAAAATCTGTGCACTTCCTAGTGTTGATTTGCCATTTGGAAAAACCATGTTAATTGAGGCACAACTTGCCGATCAAAATCTGTGTTCCTGTGTTGCAGCTGCTGTTGAGCCGAACGTTTTGCCAGAGTATCCAGTCGCCTACTTCTTTGACGGTGGCGTCCTTATGCGTAAGTGGTCTCCACGTCATGTCACCGATGATTGGGGTACTGTTTTTCAAGTCGTCGTTCCAAATTCTGTAAGTCTTGTCATGCATGTCAGTTATCTGGCAAGCCCAATCAAGTTATTCCTCCAGCCCCATTGAAGCCGATACCAGTGATTGGTGAACCATATGAGCGCATTTTGATTGATTGTGTTGGACCATTGCCCAAAACTAAATCAGGAAATTCCTACTTGTTAACGCTGATGTGTGCATCGACCAGGTATCCTGAAGTGATACCTCTGCATTCACTTAAAGCTCATGCAATTGTCAAAGCAATCGTCAAATTCTGCAATACTTTTGGAGTGCCTAAATAGATTCAATTTGATCTAATTTCATGTCTAAAGTGTAAAACATCAAAAAATTAAACATCAAACATCAGGTATCTAGTGCGTATCACCCTCAGTCCAAAGGTGCCATCGAACGGTTTCATCAAACTCTCAAATCCATGCTCCGAACCTTTTGTGTTGAACAACAAAAAGAATGGGATGAGGAAATCCCACTGTTGTTATTTGCAATTCGTACTACGACTCAAGCTTCCCTCGGTTTCAGTCCTTCAGAGTTGATCTTTGGGCACACTGTGCATGGTCCATTGAAGATTTTGCAGGAGCAAATTCTTTCGTCCGACCATCCCTCCCTTAGTAAGAACGTTTTGGATCATATTAGTGCGTTTCGTGAATGACTGCATCAGTTTTGGAAACTGGAAAAACGCTCGCTTGGTTCTGCGCAAGACCAAATGAAGACTCGGTATGATCAAAAGGCTGTCCAGCGCTCATTCCAAATTGGTGATAAAGTTCTCATTTTACTTCCTGTGCCTGGTTCAGCGCTTCAAGCTAAATTCACCGGTCCCTATGTGATTAAAGAAAAACTGAGTGACACTGATTATATTGTTTACACCCCCATTCGTAGGCGAAAATCACGTGTCTGTCATATTAATATGCTGAAGGCATATGAGGCACGCTCTGACTCTGAGATTAAGACCCCTGTCCTTACTGTTGCTCCAGTAGTTGTACCACCCTCCGAATATTCAACAGAAATGGATGGGTTAAAGATGAATAGTGCTACATTTACCTCTGCTTGTTTGTCCAGTTCAGAAACTCTGTCAAACCTTTCAGCAAAGTTTTCTCACTTATCCATGTCTGCCCAGGCTGATATCAAAAGTGGGATTAAGAGATATCCGACTTTGTTCAGTGATTTCCTCACCACTGCACAAGTGCTAACACACGACATTGATGTTGGTTCACAGGCACCCGTCAAACAACGGGCTTATCGTGTAAATCCACTCAAGAAAGAAGTCTTCAAACGTTTTTCTGATGCGAATCTTACCTTGAATCTAGCAAAATGCGAATTTGGTTGTGCTACGGTCACATATCTAGGTAAAGAAGTAGGTAGTGGTCAAGTTCGTCATCTGAACTCAAAGATCCAGGCTATCCTTGATTTTCCAGTCCCAAAGACTAGGAGAGAGCTTCGGCGATTTCTCGGTATGACCGATTATTATCACTGTTTTTGTAAGAATATTTCTGTTGTTGCTAGGGCTTCGCAACAAAATCGATTTTCCGATTAATCGTTTTTTTAAATGACGTCAATTCGATATCGATTCTCAAAAGCCGCGAATCGATCTTTTCCAGTATTTATTTCAGTACACATTTAAAACAAGATCTGATTAACGTGAATCTTATCATTAGTGTTCTCCACTAGATGTCACCCTTATTTACCTTGCGCGATGTTACAACAGAAATCCTGTCATTCATTCAGCACTTATCATGGCCATACGCATGATTCGCAATGCTCAGGTGAAATGCTATAGTAATACTATAAATCTGCGGAAGCATCTGATATCACGCATAAGGCGCCATGATTTCCGCAATGAATGAATGGCGGATGGTGCAGCGCACTTTTTTGTTTACTACACACATACTAAAGCACGGATGACGCTCGCGGTGTTTTCAGCTTCTGCCGTCTCACTATATGATGATATGAACACGAATGTCATCTCCAGCTGCTCTGAGAGTCACTTTGTTTGCCAAAAAATAAAAGGGTTTCATTTTCATTTGATTAGGATAATTAAATTAATGTTTTATGCCTTAATCTGATTGCCAGAAAAATTAAGAACATTTTATAGGGCCCTATTATTGTTTAAAAAAGGACCCTATACAAAAAAAGAATAGGTTTAAAATACAGGCATGTGGTTCTTAATTTCTTTTTATTAATTCACTATTTGTAAACTGATGTTTACTGTTCATTTTTTAGACATATCAATAACATTTGTATAAAAACGATATTCACTGAATGTAATAAAAAAAAATCTAATGTCTAATGCCAATCATCGTTTAATGCGATGGTCTCTGATCTGTCAAGGTTACAACTTGAAAATATTTCACAAAAAAGGTATTGAAAAATTGTATGTTATGGGTGGGGTGTTATGACCTTAAGATAGTCTATGCATCTGTGAACTCGGATCTCTTTTTTCTTTTTCCTCTCTGCTCGTGTGTGTAGATATGTTTGTGTTCTAGATGGGTGTGGCCTCTGTTAACCAGCTGGAGATGGTGATTGGTCATCTGCCTTTGAACCTCATTGACTTTGTACTGTCGTGTTTCGCTAGCGTTCTGATTGACTCTCCATCACGAGATGAGGCGGCATTTACTACACAGAGCCGTAGTTCACTGACAAGCTACGCAATATCGCGTATCGCGTTCACATATAACAAAAAGAAAACAAGTAGATAGAATAGAAAAAGAATAGAGAAAGCTAGTGTTAGGGGCCTTTTTTAAAAGAAAACAAGCAGTTAGAAAACAAATAGAGAGGGTCAAGTCAACAAATAGGTCAAATAGAATTAGAATAGAGAGTGCTAGAGTTAGAGGGTCAAATAAAGATTTTTGAACAAACCTTGAATTTTGCAGATTTCAGGCCACTGTTTCTGCTCCGTATCAGTCTCACAACGCTAGCCACAGGCAAGTGGCCGGAGCCAAAAACCTAATGCTCCGATTGGCTGTTTTGGCTGTTTTAGTTCAATCCAAAAACACATATATACATACATACTTTTTTCCGATCTATATAGATTTTCATTCATATGAATGGTCATTACATTGAGTTTAAACAATGTTGTATATAATAATGTTCATCACAGTAATCATTTAACAGGGGTTACACTTTCTCCCCCCTGAAATCATGAAAGTCCCTTTGCATGCTCCGAGTGGCTGATTAGTCACTACATTTGGTGAAACATTGGGCGCAATGGAAAGAGCATTTGAATTTTCAACACTGTTGAGGGATTCAACAAGGGCAGTGCTTAACCCATGGAACAAAGACTGAACCACAAAGTTGGAAGTAGGTAAGTCTCTCAGGTTCCTCTCTCTGACTGCTAGAACGTCTGAGCGGAATACTTAAATTCTGCTCTCCCTCAATTTCTGGATGTTGCTTTCTCCCTTTGACAGGAGCATCTGGGATTTCAGCTACGTCTGAACTCTTTGAACAGTTAAATTCTTTTCTGGTTCAGTGGGGTCTTTGTCGGGTATTTTACTTGTTTTAGGGACTCCTGGAGCATCAACGGGCGAGTCGTCAACTAGAGCATCAACAGGTAAGTATGTGTCTGGAGCATCGACAGGTGAGTCGTCAGCTGGATTTGCTTGTGCAGTATTATCATCTGAAAGTTTTGGATTAGTTGAGTCTGTATTCAAAGAAACATCCGCAGCTCCCTTTGATCCACAGATGTCATTAACTGTAGAGAACCATACTGTTTCGATGACTGGAAGGGCATCATACCAACCATTAGGATATTCATCCTCTGGATCAGAAAAGGAGTTGTCATCATCAGATGGTTCAATACCAGTACTCCTCCATGTTCTAGGTTTAGAAGTAGGTTTGGTCAAGGTAGGACTTGAAACTTCTGATGCTGGTAAGAATCCACAAGGAAGCAAAATGTCCCTGTGAAGTGAACGAAGGGGACCATCCCTTGTTTCAGGACGAACTGTGTAGACAGGCAAGTCGCTAGCTCGCTTTACTACTACATACACCTAGGGCTCCCACTTGTCTGCCAACTTGTGCTTACCACGCAACCGAACATTTCTCACCAACACACGATCATTGACTTCCAAGGAGGAATTTGTCACAAGCTTGTCAAACCTGATTTTGTTCCTCTCTGCACTCTTTAATGCTCTATGGGAGGCAAGCGATTAGCTTTCTTCCAGATGAGACTTTAGATGTTTGACATATTCAGAATGGGATATCTGCGGAGTGTCCTGATATGGCAACCCAAAGGCAAGGTCGACGGGCAGCCGAGGCTGGCGCCCAAACATTAATTCATAGGGGGTGAATCCTGTGACTTCATGCTTCGTACAGTTATATGAATGAACTAATGGCTTGACAAAATCTCTCCACTGACTTTTATCTTTCTCTTCTAATGTGCCAAGCATGTCCAGCAGGGTCCTATTGAAATGTTCCACAGGATTCCCCCTCGGATGATAAGGCGTTGTTCGGATTTTCTGAATGCCTGATTTTTCACAAAGTTCTTTGATTGTGCGTGACTTGAAATCGGGGCCCTGGTCACTATGAAGGCGTTCAGGAAACCCATAATGCACAATGAAGTTCTCCTAAAGACACTTTCCTACTGTTCTTGCCTTGATTGGGTGTAGGGACTTGCGATGGTCTCTGATCTGTCAAGGTTACAACTTGAAAATATGTCACAAAAAAGATATTGAAAATGTTCTTGCTGACTCGCTGTCCCGTGTCAACCAGTAAAACATTGTATGTTTTATTTTATGGGTGGGGTGTTATGACCTTAAGATAGTCTATGCATCTGTGAACTCGGATCTCTTTTTCTGTTACGGCTTACCCCTAGAGGTCGTAACAAGGAGTAACACAAATAGGGCTGCAAGATTAATCGAATGCGATTGTCATGTTTATCTCGTCAGTAAAGCCGGTTCTGTGATTAGTAGTAAATCTCCATCACGTGCTTTCAGATGAGGCGGCATTTACTACACAGAGCCGTAGTTCACTGACAAGCTACGCAATATCGCGTTCATAATCGCAGACAAATCACATGCGATAATGAATGCGATATTGCGTAGATTTACTACTAATCACAGAACTGGCTTTACTGACGAGATGCGCATGACAATCGCATGCAATTCATCGTGCAGCCCTAAACACAAACACCCTGAATCATCCAATATCTTGTGTTTACGGGCTGTTTTGCAGTTAATATGAAGCTTGAATGAATTAAAGATCATATTTTTTTCTATTTTTAACACTCTCTCGTCTGATCAGGTTTCTCTGTTGCTCTGTATCAGTCTATTAGCCTGCACAACGCTAGCCACAGGCAAGTGGCCGGAGCCAAAAACCTAATGCTCCGATTGGCTGTTTCTCATCTCTTAGTTCAATCCAAAAACACATATATACATACATACTTTTTTCCGATCTATATAGATTTTCATTCATATGAATGGTCATTACATTGAGTTTAAACAATGTTGTATATAATAATGTTCATCACAGTAATCATTTAACAGGGGTTACACTTTCTCCCCCCTGAAATCATGAAAGTCCCTTTGCATGCTCCGAGTGGCTGATTAGTCACTACATTTGGTGAAACATTGGGCGCAATGGAAAGAGCATTTGAATTTTCAACACTGTTGAGGGATTCAACAAGGGCAGTGCTTAACCCATGGAACAAAGACTGAACCACAAAGTTGGAAGTAGGTAAGTCTCTCAGGTTCCTCTCTCTGACTGCTAGAACGTCTGAGCGGAATACTTAAATTCTGCTCTCCCTCAATTTCTGGATGTTGCTTTCTCCCTTTGACAGGAGCATCTGGGATTTCAGCTACGTCTGAACTCTTTGAACAGTTAAATTCTTTTCTGGTTCAGTGGGGTCTTTGTCGGGTATTTTACTTGTTTTAGGGACTCCTGGAGCATCAACGGGCGAGTCGTCAACTAGAGCATCAACAGGTAAGTATGTGTCTGGAGCATCGACCGGTGAGTCCTCAGCTGGAGCGTCAACAGGTAAGTATGTGTCTGGAGCATCGACAGGTGAGTCGTCAGCTGGATTTGCTTGTGCAGTATTATCATCTGAAAGTTTTGGATTAGTTGAGTCTGTATTCAAAGAAACATCCGCAGCTCCCTTTGATCCACAGATGTCATTAACTGTAGAGAACCATACTGTTTCGATGACTGGAAGGGCATCATACCAACCATTAGGATATTCATCCTCTGGATCAGAAAAGGAGTTGTCATCATCAGATGGTTCAATACCAGTACTCCTCCATGTTCTAGGTTTAGAAGTAGGTTTGGTCAAGGTAGGACTTGAAACTTCTGATGCTGGTAAGAATCCACAAGGAAGCAAAATGTCCCTGTGAAGTGAACGAAGGGGACCATCCCTTGTTTCAGGACGAACTGTGTAGACAGGCAAGTCGCTAGCTCGCTTTACTACTACATACACCTAGGGCTCCCACTTGTCTGCCAACTTGTGCTTACCACGCAACCGAACATTTCTCACCAACACACGATCATTGACTTCCAAGGAGGAATTTGTCACAAGCTTGTCAAACCTGATTTTGTTCCTCTCTGCACTCTTTAATGCTCTATGGGAGGCAAGCGATTAGCTTTCTTCCAGATGAGACTTTAGATGTTTGACATATTCAGAATGGGATATCTGCGGAGTGTCCTGATATGGCAACCCAAAGGCAAGGTCGACGGGCAGCCGAGGCTGGCGCCCAAACATTAATTCATAGGGGGTGAATCCTGTGACTTCATGCTTCGTACAGTTATATGAATGAACTAATGGCTTGACAAAATCTCTCCACTGACTTTTATCTTTCTCTTCTAATGTGCCAAGCATGTCCAGCAGGGTCCTATTGAAATGTTCCACAGGATTCCCCCTCGGATGATAAGGCGTTGTTCGGATTTTCTGAATGCCTGATTTTTCACAAAGTTCTTTGATTGTGCGTGACTTGAAATCGGGGCCCTGGTCACTATGAAGGCGTTCAGGAAACCCATAATGCACAATGAAGTTCTCCTAAAGACACTTTCCTACTGTTCTTGCCTTGATTGGGTGTAGGGACTGCCACAGCATATTTGGTGAAAAAATCTGTGATCACCAAAATGTCTTTCATGTCACTTCTGTCTGGTTCCAAGGAGAGAAAGTCCAGACTAATTGTAATGGTCTGGTGGCCTGGATGTTGACCAAGGGTGCTGCTTTTTTAGGTGGGGACTTCCTTCACACACAACAACCACACGTCCTGATCTTCTGTTCCACGTCGGCAGCCATCTTTGGCCAATAGAATCGGGCTCTGACCAGATCCAAGGTCCTCTCCATCTCCATGTGACCCATACTATCATCTAAACTGCTCATCACAGAGAATCTTAGTTGTTCCGGGAGCACTAGCTGGTAAGTAATGGAATTCTTATCTTTCCGTCTCCTGTAAAGTACTCTGTCCTTTAACTCCTTCTACTCCTTCAAGAAGTACGGAAGACCAGAAAGTTCCTTCCTTACTGTTGGTGGGGGTTTTTCTCCCAACTCCAAGTGTGACATCACCTCTCGAAGCATTGGATCAGCTCTTTGTTTGTCACCAAGGTCTTTTGAAAAGTGAAGTGTAATAGGTAACAATTCAGAGCTATCTTCTTGTTCATAATAGTCGGGTACAGCATTGGGATGGAATGTAAGAGAACTTACAAGAGCAACGCCCGGTGCGGCATCAGCTGACTGCCTAACGAGGTGCTTCTTGCAGATAGCCTGAACCACATCATCCGTAGCACTGACAGAATCCTCTGCTTTGGTCAGATGATGCTGTATGAACTGTTCAATCCTTTCACATTCTTTTTGGGACATGGGGTTCTCTGGAAACGGCTCTTGAGGTCGCCTTGAAAGGCTATCAGCATCAACATTCAGCTTACCCGCCCTGTACTGCAACTTGAATGAAAAAAAGGAAAGAGCCTCAAGCCAACGATAACTTGCAGCATCCAATCTTGCGGTGGTAAGAACATGAGTAAGAGGGTTGCTATCAGTAATGACAGTAAACTGGCTGCCATAAAGGTAATCGCTCAAATTTTCAGTTACCACCCATTTAAGGGCAAGAAATTCAAGCTTGTGAGCGGTATACCTAGACTCACTATGTGACAGCCCTCTACTCGCAAATGCAATAGCACGCATTTGCCCACCTTGCTTCTGATACAGTGCAGCCCCAAACCCTTAGTGCTGGCATCCATATGGAGGAAATAGGGGAGTTTGGGGTCTGTAAAACCCAGGACTGGTGCGGTGGTTAACTTTTTCGATAATGGACTGAAAAGCTTCTTCACAAAGAGGAGTCCAACGGTCCCCAAAGGGCTCCTTAGGATGGTAGAATGGACCCTTGTTGTCTGTCTTTTTACCACCTTTCCTTAATGGTGGATAACCTGAGGTAAGGTCATTGATCGGCTTCACGACCCTTGAATAATCCTTAATAAACCGGCGATAGTAGCCAGAGAAGCCCAAAAATGACCTCAGTTCTTTAAGGTTCTTGGGACTCTGCAAGGTTTTTAAGGCTTGTATCTTTTCGGGGTCAGTCTCCACTCCCCGCTCTGACACAATATGTCCTAGATAGTGAATTGAGGTTTGACAGAATTTACATTTCTCCAGAGACAGTTTCAGTCCGTACTCTTTGAGGCGAGATAGAACGTTCAACAGGTGTCTCTCATGCTCCTCTAGAATGTCAGAGAATATTATCAGGTCATCCAAAAAGACCAGTACTTCCTTCAGATTAATGTCCCCCATACATCTCTCCATCAATCTTTAAAACGTACTTGGTGCATTGGTCACACCCTGGGGCATACGACTGAATTCCCAAAACCCCAATGGGCAGACAAAGGTAGTTTTGGGTTTATCTGACTCCTCGACTTCTATCTGATAGTATCCGGACTTCAAAATCAAGCACAGAAAACCATCTGGATCCCGTCAGAGTTGCGAAAGTCTCCTCAAGATTTGGTAGTGCATACGCATCCTTCACCATCTGGAGGTTTAACTTTCTATAATCTACACACAGACGCACATCTCCATTCTTCTTTCTCACCACCACTACTGGTGAGGAGCAGTGTTAATTTTGACAGCAAATTTTGATTTAGTTTTAGTCATAGTCTTTTGACTAAAATGCCATTTAGTTTTAGTCATATTTTAGTCATCTTTTTAGTTTTAATCGACTAAATATCATACAATTTTAGTTGACTAAATCTACAGTAAAAATGGGTTTAGTTACAGTGTAATGCATTTATTAAGCATTTCTCTACAATTTCCAAACTCATTATATAGGTTTGATATTAAGGTTTTATCATGATAGACACTGATTTAACTGTTGTGACACAGCATGCCTTTATGTTAAAAATAAAACCACTTCTCACAAAGAACAAGAACATGGTCTACTTTTTAATGAAATACCAATGGTTATATAGGCTAATTATGCATTCTTTATAGCAAATTGTTTACCATATTCTTCATTCTTTCAAGCAGACATATTTATTTCTATAAATAAATTTAGATTAATCTTTAAGGCTACTAAAGTTTTTGCTTTTGTTGCTTGATGAACATCAATGACTCGGACAATAGCAACTAAATTAGGCTGCTGTCCCTTTAAAACCGAATGCACGGCTGCAATGGGTGCAATGTACTGATACACGTTCTTCCTACTGTTTACGTTCACTTAAGACGTAGGCCTAATCAACTGTGTTTACGTGAATACTCGTCAAAACGGACAATTCAACATCATTTTGTGTGTAATTCTCGGTTCATGTGACGCGAAAGAGTACTCGCGCGCTGTGAGACGCGCTTTCTGTGTGTGTATGCTTCGGTGTCTGCGCTCAGAAAACCGGACCGAATTGAGCTCTCTCTTG